AGTCAGAAAGTATTTTTTACTACAATAAGACTGAAGGTGGGGAAGGTACCTGTGACAGATTTCCAAATTAAATGAATATTCAAGTGTGTGTACGTTAGTACACTGTTCCACGATCGAAAATTTTCTGGGCAGCTTATAGTGATTATAAAAGCAAATAGTCTGTAATGGTTTTTTTTAAGAAGCTCAGCAACCCACAATAATATGTACATCCCCAAACATGTCAGTTTGTAGTGCACCCCTGTTTATCGCTGATCAGTCCTTGAGGTTGGACTAGATAAACCCCCGGGCAGCTGGAACATCAAGGCAGGCGGGCTCAAAATTGGTAGGGCTTGCTTTAATGACATCAGGAAAAAGGAAAGATAGCATCTCTGTGGTCAGCTTAATGACAGAGAATCACAGCAACAATGTGCTGCGTGTAACTGTTTTGTATCCTACTGATGCAACAGTTATGGAGACCGCACAGGCCGTTCAGGTAGTGTGTGCTATGATTGCAAATCTGTCAGATTTGTTATTACTGGTCATTCATAAATTGTTGTTGTTGCACTGTTATAAAATGTATTTATCGCTGCTGGGTAAGTACATGTGTGCACACGCACAGAGAGAGCATGCACAATATTGGCTTCAAAAATTATTGTTACAGTTTGTAACTGTAACCTTACGTTTTTGTACTTTAAAATCTGGAATATTACTAACTCCAATTATTTATTTTTTCCAGTAAAACGAACAAGTTACGGAGCAATCTATGTATGTTTAAAGAAGAAAAAATCCTACAGCTTCCAGCATGCCCAGCTGACATGACTGGCTGGGCAATGCTGGACTTGTAGGACTTTTTTCTGCCTAAAAATGCATAATGTTATTACCCTCATGTGTTCTACTGGAAGAGGAAAGTGTAAAGCAAAGGGACACTTTGTTTTTTAAACTTGCAAATGGCATCATGCTTAACAACTTCCACCAGGTGTTCTATTTGTTTAAGCTCATGGGGTACCTTATCCCCAATACCAGATTGGTACAGTCAATTTTTCTATTGACCCATGTTTATGCAAGCCTTTGATTATAGTGTTGTTTAATTTATTATTTATGTCAGTTCTGCACTTTGGGTGCCCCTCCCCCGCTTTTATCTTGACTGTTTGGTATTTATTTAATTAACAGTAATCCATCATTAAAACAACTAAACAAATACCAGTCAAGATTAAAAGCACCATTAAAAATGGGGACCCAGAGCACAGAACTGATGAAAATTGATACATTAAACAACGTAATCAAAACTTAACAACATAACCGTGTCTGTTTTTTATTATGTCAGCTGCTTTGAATGTCTTTCTGGCTGAGGAAAAGATGGATACACACCCCCTTTTTACATAAAAATAAAGTTTATAAAATGAAAGGAAAGCATTTGTAAGGGCGAATCAACTGGCAGAGGAAAGCTTCAGCACCTCCTACTGTCTGCCAGGTGCCCATTGCAAGCACCCCTCAGTCCCTGCATTACTCTGCCTAATCGGACATGGGGTTGGGAAAGTGTCATTTGTCTTTGCATTTCACATGCCTTACCTGGGATTTCTCTCAATATCTTCAGGTATAATAACCTTAGAACAACAGCAACTTTTGTGTTATCTAAAGGCACAGATGTTGAAAGCAAGGTTTATATATCTCTGTAATTTTTATGTTTTATGTGAGTTCTCAAAACTGCATATGATATTTTTAGCATTACTAAAATTCCTACAGAGAGCACATGATTTTAGGGTTCTTTAAATACATCTGAAGTCCTGAGAATCTCAGCTTCTATTTAAAAACTAGTCAAACAATTCTAAAGTTTGTAAGTTAAAGAGAGAAAAGACTGGGGACACAGCCTTGAATGTACAATGTTAATTTTTAATTTTTTGAAAAATGGGTTCATGTCTTACAGCGTATTAGCTTGTGATTTCATACACTCTTCATAACTAGTCGAAAGCAGAAACGGTGAAAGGAAAGGACAGTTGGTATCACCTTTATGAAGGAACAAAACATACACTCATTTTGCTGCTGCTGAGCTAGGTCAGAAGGAAAGAACAATCTCCTGCTGCAGACAAAAAGAAGAAAAGCCATTTTTCCTGCCATAATCAATGCAGGTAGATTCAATGATCCAGTATGGGCACAACTTCACCTAAGTCATATTTAAGTCCCACTGATTTCAAAGACAAGACTTAAACCATCTGGAAGTTTCCTGCAGATGTGAATGGGACTTAGAAGTACTTAAACTCACATGAATCGTGACCTGTATTCTTCTTACACTGGGTGATAAGAGATGGAGAAATGGAAGACCCAGCCATATCACTTCATTTTTTTAACATTCTTTATGTATAAAGTGAAAGTTTTCCTTATGGTGCTTAGAGATATTTGACCAACATACAGTTTATCTCATGATTTTGATTTGTTACGGTAGTGGTGTGCTGCCTTATGGCAATGACAGTAATCCCAAATGTCCTATCCATGATAGGCATGTTCAGGTCCTGTAAATTCAAGGCCATGGCTTTCTTCATCGAGTTAATCCATCTCATCTCTCCATCTCATGGAGTTAATCCATCTCTTCCCCTTCTCTTTCTGCCTTTGAATTTCCCTAGCAGGTTTCAAAAAAGGTTCCATCTGATTACAGAGTGCATTCAAATGGAGTTGGTCATACTTCAGTTCCACTGAAATCAATGGGACAAGTTACTAATTAATGATTCACTTAAGTCCCTTTGAGTTCACTCAGAATGAAACGTAAGAATCTTTTCCAATGTAACCCTATGTGCTTCATTTTTGTTTACTGATCTATCTTATCACTAGAGTTTAATAGGTTCTTCTGGTTTTACATATTAAAACAAAATCCAGTGTTGCAGCACTACAAATGTAAGGGCCTTTCCACTAGCAGAGGATATAGCAGAGGGTCCTTGATGCAGAAAGGAGTGTGGTGGCCAGTTTTGCTGAGTTTTTCTTCTTCTTATGCTTTTGCCTCCATCTTACACATGATCCTGGAGGGTCTTGAAGCCCTCCAGAGTAAATTTTCAGAGGCATACGGGATTATATGATACAAGAGAAATCAATGACTATCCATTCCGTTAACCTTCAATGGGTCTAAAATGATACTTAACTATACTATATACATGCATAAGAACTACGAAAGCAGAAGTGGCATCAGCCAACAGGCCATGAAAAAAGTCCTGGTTTGTAAAGTAGATGCAATTGTTCAAACATCTATAGCACAATACAAACATTCAGTGCTCTAATCTGAATGACAAAGCCGTTCAGTCAAGAGAAGACCAACTTTTAAGTCAATGTTGAACTAGGACATGAAGATGCAAAGCAGAAATTCTAATAGAAACAAAGAAAAAGGCAGTAGTAGATGCACATGAAAACAAGGAAGTATTAAACAAAGAATACTATTTTTCTTTTTTGTGATGACAATACTGGACATGGTCTAAAGTTAAGTTCTCTTATGTCTCACTGATTTGAAATCAATGGTACCAAAATGTGCTTAATTTTGGATCGTGTCCATAAGTGGGTAAAAATCTTTAAGGGCATAATGATTTAAAATTGATAATACTGAAAAGAGAAATAACCATGAAAAATAATGCCATATTAAAATTATAGTACATTTTAAATAGCTGGGTTATTAATACCTCCCTTTCAAAAACACAGACTGCCATTGAAATAATTTAGACACAATTTGAAACCAACAACTAGATCCCAAGCTTTAAATTCCAAGCTATATACAATGAATGTAAATATGCTGCTTTCATATTGACAGAATTATTGTTTTCTAATGTTGCCCTGAGCAATAACTAATCTAAAAACTCAGAATGACTCTATCATACGTATTATTATCACTTGATTTGAAACGTGATTTTCTTCCACAAAATTGAAAGTTTTTCTGGCCAAGTAGTGTTTCAAACTTTCACAAAAGACTCACTTGAAAATTAGAACTATAAATTATTTCTACATTGGGTTATTTTTGTAAGAGGCATGCATATGATAAACATGAGGAATCCATGCAGAAAAGTTGGCTTCCTTGTCATACTGAAATCCAAGAAAGCAACAGGTGAAATTCAAATAACTTCCAAATGGACACCTGGATTGGGAAAGTTCTTTGGGCTTCCAGCAGTGGATTAAAAGCTGATATCAACACCATATTAGTGAAGATTAGATACACACTATGACTTGCACAGAAACATCACCAGTTGTATGTGGAACAGATGTGTACAGGCCTTGCCATCAGTCTTATGATGAAAATGGGAATATGCATCCCCATATAGTACCTGAGAACAATGCATGAAGAATAATGCACACCTGCCTGTTACTAGAGTAGAAAGCAACATCTTTATCCGTATCTCTGGATCAGAACCTTATCCATTAAATCTTAAAGGCAAAACATAATCTGTGTAGCACAGATCTGTGATATTAATGAAACTCTCTTAAATTTAATACTTTAACATTATCATGACCTATTTTGGAAAATGCTACATTGTCATTACTTGTTTGAGCTTCATCTCAGTTTTCTTAGGTCCATGCTTGTTTGTTCAAGTTAACTGACGAGAACCTTTAGCAGTCTTAGACTATAAAATATTAATATTCCCCTCGGCTGTGGTCCTAATCGGAGCCAAACTAGTTTCAACACTGCATTTGCTTAAAACTGCCTCACAAAACATTTCAAGTGTGTACTGTGTGAGTTTTGTCAGGGTTACTGAAACAATCGCTATAAAGATGCTATGTAGCAATAGGGATCATAGAACCAACTTTTTGCAGCAGTCAAAATAGCCAAATCAGTGGGAATATACTTCACTAAGTTTAATGACATTTTGATTAGGTGTGCATAGTATCTTGGTATTTGGAAAAAACAACAAACAAAAGCTTACAAAACATGCAGCAACATGCATGAGAAACTTCTTGAATTTTCCCTAATAACTGCACGTGGATATGATTTCATACAATAATCCTTTAGGTCATGATTTAACTCTTAAACATCAGAAGATTACTTTGCAACTTACCTGCCTGTTACGTTCATCCATAATCCTCGTGATCTGAATCTTTTTTCTCCCCATAGTCCCCGTTTTTCTTCTCTCGTTCGTTCCTACACTTATGTATTTTCTTCTTCTCTTTCCTTCCTCTTTCCTGTTTCCTCAAACCAAGACTCCTTCTTCAGCACTTACACGATTCAATTCACAGACCCCCACATCTGTTCCTGCTAAATATACAAAAGAAATGAACTGTTAGGAGTTATTCAGGCAAAATATTTAGAATACATTGATACTTTACCAACTGACCTTAAGTGCAATTTAGTGTGCAAATTTACTAAATAAACAACTATATTAGGAACAAAGTCAGGAATAGTTAGGCATGATTATTAATCATTATTGTAAAATAAGTTGTTGGGTTTTTTTCCCCTGATCTTTTTCAGAAGCCATGTTCATTCATATAAGAAACTTAGCTTCAGGGTATAAGTGTACTGTCTATCAATTTCACAGTAGAATGTGCAAAATTGTGTTATATATGTGTACATGATTAGTTTTATATTATGTTATTATAGTTTTAATCTCTGTAAACCGCCTAGAGAACTTTGACAATTGGGCGGTATAGAAATGTAATAAATGAAATGAACAAACTTTTAAAGACATTATTAAAACAATGAAAGTGGATACTTTCATATTCCTTGAGAATGCACATCTTTCTATTCTGTAACAGTTCCTTGGAAATGTGAAAAATTACCTAAATCAAAGAGTTAATGAACCTTTCCCTACCTGTGCAAGCTAAGTAATCAAGCTAATTCACTTTAGAAGGAAAACAGAAGAGGTGATAATGTCTGTTATTATGCAAATAGGCTAGGCCATTATTAAAGTATTATTTGATGTATGAGTAATGTCAGCTGAAATCAAAGTTCTTTAACCTTCTATTCGATTTTTAAAAGGAAGTATTGCAGATGAAACACTTCAACAGAAAAATATTTCTTTATTTCCGTTATTTAACATATTTGTGTGTCTATGTATATAGGTACCCCTCTACAATAAGCAGAACAGTTGAGCAGTCATTAATATAGTCCATGCATCTGCCTTCCGCATATTGCAAATAGCTAATCACCTCATAAAAAGTCATAATTGCAAAAGAAGGGTCGTAAACACATGACAATGTGTTTCTAATATTCTCTTGAAAAACACTATAAACCACAGGATTAATCTCACACTGCTGCAATACATTATATAAAAATTAAATCAAAGGGTGAAAATATGAATAGGAAAAAGTCATAAATGAAAAGTGGATGCTGAGAATATGTAAAAAGATAAAGGCAAGCATCATAAATGTTTACTATGAGTGATAGCTTACTAGGACAATGCATGGAAACATTTTAACTCACATAAGCATATCATATTCTTTCAAACATTACACTCATATTTCTGAACTGCAATCCTATCCATATCATCTCAGAAGCAAGCCCCACTGATTTCAATAGAGCGTATCCCTGCAGGTACAGACTGCAGCCTTTGTGCTTCATTGTTTTTCCAAAGCATTCTGGTATAATAAAATTATTTAATTCACCACAATGTAGGAATGTGATATTGCAGCTTCATCTTTCTTTGGTAATCTTTCCTTGATCAGTTCCCTTACAGCCAACCGGATACATTCTAATAAACATATAAACTCTAAACAGAACTTCTGGGGTGGAAATCTGTTGAGTAGATCCATACAGAAAGAAAGTAGATCATTCAGAAGGAAAGTCTGGTCCTCGCTCAGATTTTTAATTCTGACTTCAGTTAAGTTGTTGCAACTCAGATTTATTGCAGTTCCGTGTTGTAAGATGTCAAGAAAAATTAAGGAGAACACTATTGCTCTCTCATGATCTACACATTTTATGCACTCCAACACTGCAATCCTATACACACTTACCTGGAAGTGAGTCCCACTGAATTCATTGGGGGTTACTTCTGAGTAGACCATGCACTGCAAACAAGTTTTCTGCCTTAATAAGCTCACTATTACTAGCACTATTGCTCTGTAGTACAAGGCAAGCAGATAATTTGCTAAACTATCATTATCAGCTCACATCATTAATGATGCATTTCTAGCATTTTTATCCATTTGAAAGAGTTAATTGACTTGTATACAGTTGGCACCTGGTCCTATTCCCCCTGAAACACAGATTCAGTGCAACCACTACATTAAAGCAAATTCTTTAAAATGTATTCTATATTATCTGTGCATATTTCAGGAGCACTACAGCCTCTGATATTTGCTGGAGACTCTCATAACATATTCATTTTTGCATTTTCCTAAATTTCTTTGGACAGGCCTGTTTTCCTGGGAGCTCCCGTTCCCCGCCCACCAACCCCAATAGTCAGGCTTACCTCTGATATAAAAAGCCAGGTAATTCCCATGTACGTGCAGGACCCAAAGGAGTCTAACAGGCTTTCTCCACAACAGTAAGCCAATAGACTAATCCACAGCAAATGCATATGGAACAATTTCCCTTCCTTTCATTCACGTGGAGCCAGAGGCACTATCGGCTTACAGCCCCTACGCCTGCCTAAGCTCTTACTCTGTTGAGGGTGGGAGGTCAGAGTGGAGAGATTAGAGAAGTGGTGACAGGGTTAGCCAGGATGAGAGCTGCTTTACAGATCAAGATGCTGCAGCTGAATGAGAAAAGCGGTCGGGGGGGCACCACTGAGCACTGACACGCTTGTCTTTTAGGACATGCACACAGAGCCCTGGTGAAGTAACAGCATGGTGAGTCCCTCCCACTGAGCTATCAGTTCCACATTTCATATGGAGCATTTAGAAAACGGGTGGGGGGAGATTATAAACAAACTGGGTGTCAGGAACGTTAAGTATTCGACAGCTACATAAAATATCCCTAAAACAGTCTCACAAACAGTTCATAGACCCTGCAGACATAAATCTAGGGTAAGCCCACAGTGTACGTTGGACTGAATTCCAAATTTACATCATTGTAATTTAAGAGATGAATTTGAACCATTGTTCCCATTTGCAGCAACAATCTGTTGACAAGTTGGTGGGGCAGGGAAGAAACCCACATGGTTTAAAAAAGGAAGCACTGTGACCATTTATTATGATGCTGTTTCTCAAACATAGGAAGGCTGAGAAACAAGAAACAGTGTGCTAACTGTTCTCATCCATACCCAAATTCACACATGTGTTTGTGCACATGCACGTATACACACACACCATGGCACAGAGATAGCTTGGGCAACTGAGATAAAAACAGGCTAGCAGCAGTGGCATGGTTAAAAATAGGCTTACAGGGTTTTCTTTTTCTTCAGCTTTGTCATGATTTGCCTCCTTATCTTGCATAAACCCACATGTGCACTTTGATGCAACTACTTTTCCAACTATATACCCCTATGCATGAATGAATTTCTTACACACACACACACACACACACATATACACACAAACATGTGAGTCAAAGCAATAAGCTATAGCATTCAGAGAGATACTCAGTCAAATGAAACATGGAATGAACTGAAAAGCATATTTGAATCACAGCCACCAGCCTTCACACATTTCAAAAAATTGGTCCCCATCAGAATGCAAAACATGAGAGAGAACCCCATGGCCTCTGGACATTTTAAAAGATACCTTGCAGTGGTTTACCTTCTGCTACGCACGTTACATTTGTTAGACCAACTGCAAAAAACAGAATAAACTCTAGGGTGTCCTGAAAAATGTGCACTAGACAAAACTAAGTTAAATATGTTAAAATTATTCCAGAAGCCCTGTCACAGTGGAGGCCACATTAAAGAACCCGTCCAGGATAATGACAGAGTTACATTTAAACAAATGCATCACTTTTAAAATGTCGATGCTACATTCTTCAGAATTACAGTCTTCAGCATTTTTCCCCTTTTGGAAACCCAAACACTTGAAAAAAAATCAGACTGTTTGCTAAAAAGAGGAACTTCATTTTGGCGGGCTTCTGTTCACTTTATGATTTGGCAAAGGCACAGAGAGTTGAGGAACGAGTGATTTGAGTTCCAGTGGGCAGATTCTGCAGGGCAGTCGCCCCTTCTCTTTCGCTCTCGCACACATTCTCTCTCTCCCACTCAGTAACACAGAAGACTCTTGACAGAATGGCAGGAAACACGCACTGAGTGGTCAGGGAAGGAGATGATGTCAGCAACCACGAACAATAAAAGGTGTAAAGGTGCTTCCTTCCTTAAACTGTTCCAGAAGTGCAAAATGGGAACCAAAACTCTTCACTTCCTTCTCCGAACAGAACTTTCTGAATCTGCCGTGCTGCAGCACTCCAGACAGAGGGCCCTTTGAACAAGTCACCCAAGGGGCAAGAAGAAGCATCAAAATGGAAGATGCTAAATATTTGATTTATAAACAAGCCAGCAGCCTGAGGGGGGAAATGTATTGAATACGTGTCAGTGATGTAAGCTTTCGTTACAAGAAGCAACAAGCGTGCCATAAAGATTTTTCTGTTCTGACCAGCTGCACATATCTGTGGCTGGCATGTTTTAAAAATCCCCCAAGCTTGAGCTTGGGCTGAGATTTATTTATTTTTTAATCAGTTCAATTTTTAAGCCAAATGGGATACTGATAAAGAGCTATGTATGCATTTGACGAGGGTGCCTCATCAGTGCAAACAAAATAGCAACCCAATGATAAATACACAGACAAGTTAGTATTACTCGGAGAAAGCTTTCACTGGTGTTTTGCCCTAAGTCCCCATGGCATATACCAAGTAGTTTCCAGGCCGACTGTGCTTGAAATCCAAGTGTTCACTGACTGTATTAAAGTATTATTTATTTCATTTCTGTACCACCCAATAGCCAAAGCTCTCTGGGCAGATTCTAATGGTTCATAAAGCCATACAGTATTTGGTTTCATATGGCAGTTACTTTCTATTGCCATTTGCATAGTCTGCATTTCCTCTGAGACGGTAATTGTGCAGCCTCATACTATTCATATTTGTTCAGAAACAAATTCTACTAATTTAAATGGGAAATACTCTCAATCAAGCATGTACAAGGTTGCAACTTTAGCCTTCAACAGGTAAATAAATAGGCTTGTGAAATGAATTAGGTGCAAACAGGTAGACATCTGTCCAAACCATCATGGATTACTAGGAATCTGAACCAGGAATGCCCAAGTTGAAGCCCCACCTTCCAGCCCACCCTTTTCCAACTTGGAGCTTCCATATATTCTTAAATGTTAATTCCCAACATT